CACAAATAAACACGTAATGTATGTATTCTCTTACTTTATCTAAGTAAGATACTAAGAACCGGACCTAACTCGTTAGTTAGGTTAATTTAGTCGGTCGCTTTTCGTTACAAGAAATAGTACTATACTATCTTCTGTTACTTCTTCGTTCAACAAAACCGATTCATGGTAGATGTCCCACTTACAAGCACGAAGCGTTTCGCATCAAGCTTCTTTGTGCGTACTGAGCGCAATTCTTTGCCTGAGTCTGTATTTCCTGAAGGGTATAACCTAGGCGTCTCCAAGCTCAGAGTGAATAGGTTGCTTATAGGTCGACGTGCTCCATCGTAGACCGCATCATCGCTTACCACCAGGCAGAATAGTGGTCAAACGTCGGCCCATCAAATATAAAATAAACAACGTAATTTTAGTTAACTTTCAACTTATACACAGTTGTTGCAAATAAGTAATATACCAAGTAGTCGTTTAAGAACTCGTCTTAACATAACTTCTGCGGAATGGTGACTGGTTCACACATACGATGTTTTCAATTAATTCGCTGTACTAATATGGATTCTTGTTATTGCTACACAACACTGGGTCAGTGTTGTGGGATATATTGCACTTTTTTAACCGACTTCAAAAAAGGAGGTTCTCAGTTTGACGTATCTATGTTTCTGCGCAATTATCTCGCGATTGGCTGAACCGATTTTGATGAGGTTTTAGTATACTACACACATTACAACCGATTTCAAAGAAGTCGAAGTCGATTTTTTTAAACTTACAAGTGGATTTTGTTGGATTTTTGGTTACCATATTCTTGTGCTAGAAATGTTTATGTGTGTGACACATTAAATAATCATAATTTTTTTTTTGCTGGATGGGAATCTTGAAACCTTTATTCAGTCGTATATCACCATCGTTAACTAATCACTAGTCACTAATCAGTTCCCCACAAGGCTACAAACACTCATGTTTGGCTCATAAACAGAACTTGTGTTTATCTTCTGTCACTGCAAATTTTCTCTCCCATAAAAACGTAATTAGCTAAAAACAACATTAGCACACCCTGTCGAAACTCGAGATCAAAGCATTGTTTGCGTTCACGAGGATCGCACAAATATCGTCACGATTTACGAGCGAGACTGCAAACAGCCAGCACTAGGTACATTTGACACATACCTTTGCATTTCAAATTTCGAGTGTGAATTTATCGCGGGAAAATAACGTTTTTAATTTACGTTTTTTAATCTGTGCAATAGTTTGTAAAGGGACTTTTTAGAACTAGTTAAGTTTTGTCTATGACCTACGTGGAATATATGTGAACAATTATTGTTATAAATACTGTGATAGTTCAATATGTTAGTTTTGGCGGATCCTACGATGACGAAGTAATTAACAAAATAGAAACCTTTATCGAATCAAATCTGTAGTTACTAAATCGATTACTGACTCATATGCGTCAGACGATGATGGTAATCGACTAATCATGGTTCAGGAGAGTCGCAGTCCCCTCGGGAAGTCGAGATATCCAGGATATTGGCTAATGCATAGCGTCTGTGTGTAACATAAACTTAGGTTGTCAACAGACTCGGCAACTTGCTACATAGTGCATACTAATGTCGTTGATAGTGCTTAACAGATAGCTGATTTTGTAACTAGTTGATCAATTTAGCGGGAAGGAATAGTTACATTATTATTTCCATATATTTATTTAAAATTCTCTATAAATTACATTTTTAAATACTACTTAAAATATAAAAAATAATATTAAAAAATATAAAAAATAGGAGCCGACCAGTAGCGGGAGCATGGTCCATGCTACCGGTGGTTAGGGCTCCAGAGACAGAGACCTCGCGATACGTGCCGTTTCTAGGAGAACTGCCTTCTGTATCAGGCCCTTGATCCACCCACCTAACGCTAGCCTCCTGAAATGGATGTCGAGGCATTATTATTATAAGATTTTGTTCGGTATTCGACCTCCAAATAACATTTCTTTCAGACGTGTTGAGTCACTATTATACCAGCTGATAACTAATTAAAATAATTAAGCGTGAAGTTGATGATGAATAATGCACATATTTTAGTGAATTGAACGATCTCTGCAACTTGCAAGACTTACGGCCTTCTGTCGTATTAATACGGTTAAGTAACTATTTGGCAACTGATAATAATAAATGTGTGACATAACTTGGGAGTCGTGACCAATAGGCTTATGTGGTAGGTGTAATGACCGCCTAAGGGTCATGACGTAACAGACTTGTGGAAACTAACCTTGTCCAAAACCTTGAGATTTTTTGTTTATATTTTTGATTGCCAAAACGATTAACATCGTATTTAGAACTGTGTGAACATGTAATTCGTGCTTATTATTGTCTGTGTGAATTTGAAAGTCAAATTCATAGACCGCCATCCGCCATGTTTGTTTGCGATGACGTCATCGCACGTCAGAAGAACTTTATTGTGGCTAATAGAAGTATAATAAGTTGACTTTATTCCATAAATTATGTAGATGTATATCTATTTTTTATTTTCTATGTAAACGCAAATGTTGATCGGGCATAAGACAAAAACAACCGGTTTGGTCATGCAATCGATCTGTCGTATTTATTTGCATAGTTCAAAATAGATCCATGCTTCTGATTTGTTAGTGTACCGTGCTCGCTTATCACTAAAAGCAAATATTGTTTTAAAATATCCGGAAAATAGTACAAATCAATCGGCTTAAATGTAGGAAGTTTAACGGTGTAACTAAAGCGCTGTCATCGGCGTAATCCCACGCGGCACGGGAAAAATAGTTGTTTAAAATTTCCGCATGCGAAACACGTTCGTTTAACAAGATTAGGGCAAAAAGCCGGTCGGCGGCCGTAAGCCACTGCATAATGTAGGTGGCGGTACACCTCTAGTCGACAAGCGGACACTACTACACGAGGTACCTCACGTGATACTCGACTGCGAAGGGTTGAGATAAGATGCCTGCGTAGGGTTGTGGTCCCTTTGATCTTTTGTTTTTGCTATATATTTTGGCTACGTTTCGAATTCGTGATTCTCGTACTTTGTTGATAGAAAGTTGAAGTGTTTTGTTGCGTCAAGTGTTTTTGTTTCAAAGTTTAACTTTATACACGTGGTTGATAGAAAAGGGTTGGTTATTCGATAAAGATAATTTAATTCGACCCTAGTAACAAGCGATAGGTCCTGTAATGGCTTTATTACGAAATCTTTGACGTTAATCGATTTGCTTTTATTCTTGGGGTAATTAGGTAAGCTATGGACAAATTAAGATCATAACTTTTGATGACGGAGTGTACATACATAAAGCACTGTGCAAAGTGAACTTTAGTTTTTCTTTTAATCATGTTGTTATTTTTTTTTTGTCCTGGGTTCGTTTACAAATATGCAAGTTCACATACACATGACACCCAGACCCGAAACAACAATCTGTGGATCACACAACGGGTTGTTTCGTGCAAGAATCGTACCCGCGACACGTTGCGTGGCAGCCAGTTGCCTAGCCACCGCGCCAACTGTGCACTAATAATATGGAAATAGCTATTTTCTGACCGGTATACTTATTAGTAGTTTTGATTTGGTTGCTTTTGTATCTTAAATACATAGTAAACAAGATTATCATCGAATGGAAGATCTGTGATTAGATCTTTATCATTAACAAATAAACGAAACAACACTGGTGCTAGTTTTAAATGTCACTGGTTTTTCTCAAAATAATAGATTATTGATCTGCTTCTCGTCATTTTCTAGAAGAGTTTTAAGAGTTTATAAAAGTCTAGACTTGAATCCAATTGATGGAAAGTTATAAGAGGACGTCAATCCACGAGATTGAATTGAACCTCTCCTACAAATAGCGGAACATTAAAATTAATAGTTATAATGTTGACTACACAGTTGGCGCGTGGTTGGGCAATTGAGTGCTATGCTACGTGTCGCGGGTTCGATTCCCGTACGGAATATTTTTTTGTGTGATCCACAGATTGTTGTACCGGGTCTAGGTGTCAAGTGTATGTGAAATTTTCTGTTTGTAAACGCACCCACGATACAGGAGATAATCCTAGTGTAGGGCAACGTTAAAAAAACACCTAACAGTAACTAGAATTTTCTAAATAAGTATTTGTAAGCGGTAAGGAATTTACACAACAATTTCAGATTTCATAAAATTGATTAGCCATCAATGACGTATTACGAAAACAACATGCAACGTATTACCAAACTAGACAATCAAAATTGTCTATAGGTAATTATCCTATGATTGGTTTCAATGCCGATTTAATTTATTGCCACAAATTGCTACTCTGCTGTCTCATCATACAATACTTACGCCGAGGTTCCAATATGAACGGAATTCGTATTCCAATTGACCTCTAGTAGAGATTTTAAATCGTATGAAATGTCTTCTAGAATAATCCTTGAAACAGGACAAACACTAATTCTATAAACAACAAAGCAAGCCAGCCATATACAATGTCCAAGGTAAATTTGATTTACTGCAGAGCTAAAGCTGCTCACGTTGATAACTTTTACGTGTCTAGAAATGTTATCACGTAGCTGTCGTCGCCTACAGTCGTAGCTTTGTTCCTAGGTGACAGATGCGCCTTAGCGACCAACTTCATAAAGCGAATTCCCTCACAGACAAGCTAAGCTGCTCCGACACTAGACACTCCGTAAATCTCTCGTAAAATAAATCTCTTACCATTTTCATGACTCTAAAATTAGAATCACTTTAAACCTTATTCCTGGTATACATTAAAAACTGTGTAAATCCCTCGCGAAGGCACCGGATTGTTTCTCCGCTTATATTTTATTTATTCAGTCGTATCGTGTCCTCCAACGTCGCTCCAAGCGAAATATCACACAAACCCGGACCACTCCAGAATATTCTATACGCTTGAATAATGTCTAGTTTTCCATAAAGAATGCATTTGCATACCTACATGTATGTTGTTGTGTTGCAACAGGCAGTTCTCAAAAGCGAGGCGAACAAACACAAAACCATTTTATTTTTCGTTTAGTGCGTCGCATCGGAAACAGTGAAATGAAAAAGGAATGCAGTGATGGAATATTTGACCGGTGTCGGTGCATTAAAAACAGTGAAAATGTTAGTGCTTTCGAATATATTTCGTGCGAGCCATCCTCAAAACCAATTAGTGCCGAGAGAATTGAATTCATTGTCCACAGAAAAAAGTGGGGGACAAATGGAAAAGTCCAAAATAGTGTCACAAAATTCCTTAAGAATAAAACAACGAACGAAAACTCGTGACAACATAAATGTCAGCCATGAGATGGATGATGCTGCAGATGCAAAAAGTGTGCGTCGAGACAAATGTCTGTCAAACAGCGTTGATGCCATCGTAACTCACAATGATGCCAAAAGTAAAGTGATATGTAGTGCCAAAGGTTTATTAGAAACTAATTTAGACGATCTGTTCAATGATGTACAAAAACTGGATGGCTGGAATGTGGAGCCAAAGAGTTTAGGTGCCAGTGAACCGACATTAAGTTTTAGTGAGAATAATTCTAAAGCTGTCAAGCGCGAATCTCTCGTGTCAGAGGATGACACGGATGATGATACGGCGAGTGATAGTGACTGCACGGATGAAGTGGTACGGGAACAGAGGATATGTATGGGAGCTCGCCGCTTCGGGCATTTGTTGCGGAGGGTCATATCTAGAAATGGTAAGATAATATGCATTTGTAAAACTACACAATTCTTCTTCACTTAAGTATTTTACAGTATAAAATATAATAAACAATGTTTATATCAGAAAAGACGTCACCAACACCGAGGTCGGAAGCGCAGCGAATTGAGATGGTGCCGGTCATTTATTTGTTTTCAATTGTAGCAAATTGCTGCCGCTCTGATTGAGATGACCGTCGTAAAATCTTGTTACACGTTACAATTTTATCTTTGTCGTTCGCGCAGTTTCCGATTGGAACTAATGGACGTTCTATAAAACTCCGCAGAGGTCGTAACTTTGATTTTTAACCTTTTTTTATTCATCGTCAATACTTTAGTAATTACGCTGAGCTTTGTCTCCGATTTGTGTAATGCTTTGTGGGTTTTTGGTATTAATGTATTTTGTAACGGTAGATTGGTTTTGGATTAAACCTGATTTGTAACGTACTTGTGCTGGAAACAAATTGTAAGTGCCATTAGAGCGGCAATGCGGTATCTTGCAATTTATTTTGTTTTGCTAGTGTTTTCCGTTAGTAAGCTGGGTTAACTACTGCTGTAGAAATCTTGTCTTTGGGGTTTATTCACAAACAGAAATAAAAGCAACGGCTTCACCGTCGTATGTAAATATCATTCGCAAATTATTCATGCGTAACACTAGATAATTCTCCATCTATATTTCAGAATTCAACCCTTAATCTCCAATAAACACACGTTAATAAATTATCGCACTAAAACGTAATTATCTGTGCGCTGTACTCTAATCTTGGAACATGTGACCATCCAATCGTAACGTTGCGGCAGCAATCAGGGCTCGATATCATCAATTCGCTGCGTGGTTCGTTTGCTAATAGAGTCAACGAGATACGAGACGAGAGTGCCTCATCAATTCCCCGGGAGTCGCGATGTAGGGAACGATGTAAGGAGATTAAACATTTTTGTGGAGACTGCAGGTAAATTGTAAAGAGGTAATGGATTTAAGAGGTGTTGAATTTCATTTGGGGAATGATTTTCTTTTGATTTTCTCTCCCTGCGTCTGTAAATGAAAGATGTTATAGAAATTGATTCTTTCATGATAAACAAAGCATAAAATAGTTACTTTTAATGGGCTATTCCAGAAGATCACTGTTCACCTGATATTAAGCAATCGGCGCCACCAATTGCCACATACAATACCAGAAATTTTAGTTAGGTACTCTTTAAATAATACTAGGAAAATACTCATACCTACACTACTAAGACACAATAGGTGTACAAATGAGAAGAAGCCATACATCACAATGAAGTTTCCTCGAAATAATGTCTCAATTAATTGAAGCAGTCATGTTTTGTATTTAGATGACGAATCTAGTATTACTATGAACTGCTAACGAAATGATTGGCTTCGTCACGGCTTATAACTTTTGTACTAACTCGTAAAGGCTATCTCAGTTTTTATTCTAGGAACTGTGTTGTCATTAAAAACTGTGATAAAAAGTGTTCTATCTTTAGCACAAGTCATGGCCTATCTTCGTTTAGTAGTTTTTAGATGTTAAGTATCATAATATTTTGATTTCTAGTTTCTAGCTAGGTGAGACGGGGGAGGGAACAATCCAAGGTTATAAATTACTCACTTTTCTAATCATGTTGCAAATAACTTGAATAAAGAAGTAACCATATCGCCGTCTACCGGCTCCAACTTTAGTTTCCATGCCAATAACTTTACAATTATAAACTCAATATCAATTTACAGGTCCTAAAGATAAGGTGTATACTTAGTTGCTTGTGAAGTTGTGAATCACGTCACACTTTATACTAGAGTGCCTGTCCATGGTGGCAAAAACCAAAAAATCCACCCAGTGATCGACGTTCCTTGTTATCCATCCATCCAAAAACTTTCGTGTTCACAAATAAATAGTAGGATTGCAATCAACGAAAAATGTACCGATATCGCGGTCGGTTTCGTTAGTATTTTGTTTCTTTAGTTTGCTCTGCGAAGTGAATAAATACAAATCGATTTGATTGGATCGGTCTGCCCCGTTAGCTCAAAGATTGAATCGGTTGAAAAAATGCTACAGTTCAGAGAAATATCGAAATAGTACGGATTCTATTTGAGCATGTCTTTATAAGGTATTTGTGTTATAAGTTGAACGTTAATCAATTTCTTTTTATCGGGATAACGAGACTTACCCTATCAAGTAGTTAAGCAGCCTTGTCTCATTTTTTAATCATCACATCAGCCTTCTCAGATTTGCATGGCTCATTGGCGAAATCTGCATCTGTACAAAAATTTCATCTCTAAATGTCCTCAAAAATAAGAAATACAACTAGATATGCTGCAGATATCTTCTTCATTCTTTAGTCTACTCCAAATAATTTAAAATTCCATCAGCCGTCTAAAAATTTCTTTGCAAGCGTAAATTAAAATAAAAACCTCGAGAGTGCTATGGTAGGGTTCAATTTCAAAAGATTTTTGTTCCAGTTTCAAAGAGCATGCTCAAGTATAACCAACTAAAATTAAAATCTTAGGTTGCAACAGGAGTAGGAACGGGGTGGTGTTTAGTCCCTAAGAGTCTGACATTCTCACTTCACTCAAGACAAGAGAAGTGATTGGATGAATTTTACCCCTCAAAAAAAAGTTGCAACACGTGTCGGTTATCCAAGGTTGGTACAACTCTTAACTATTCAATCCCCAAGCGGTCACCGGTGACCGCTTTGCACTAAATCCATTGTATACCTTATTGTCAATCTTTAGAGACTACTTTTGTATGGGCACTTTCGGTACGATATATCAATGTATTAATCAGCTGAGATTATCGTTTTTCTTTTGGTACCTTTCCTTTTGTACTTAAGTATATACGGTCGTTCCCGGTTTGATTGATTCTAAAGCAGAACAATCTTAAACCTGGCTTTTCATAAGTATGGCGTACCTTGTTATTGTTAGTAAGTTTTAATTTCATTTGCAAAATCTTAATTGTATACATTCTTCCCGTGACCATGGTTTCTATAACTTAACAGAAAACCGAGGTTCGGTTTAATAGTTCCGCGTTCATATAAATTCATGGCTAAAATTCGAAAGAAAAGATGGCAATTTCTTTCTAATACTTTAACTCGTCGAGTACCGGTTTTGTAGACACAATTATAGAACAATAAGTTGCGGTCACCGGTGACCGCTTGGTGTTTGACAGTTTAAATGGATGATGATTACCATTTAACGCCTCCTACACCTCGGATACCTAATAGAGTTTAGTTAAAATTTCTTGGTTTAAGTAAACTTCATTATGTGAACTGTTTTCTGTTTGATACATACCATGAATTGATTTAGAAGTTTTTGTTTCTATACGTATGCATCTCCAAATCCTTGAGTTTCCTGTTCAAAGAATACATAATAACCATGACATTATCAAAATTTTCAACAGCAACAACTTAAACATTCGTCCTCAAATAAAAATCCTAAAAAGGAAAAACAAAACCGAATTTCCTTATCTAAACAGTCATCTAAATTAATATTATCGACAAAAACCTTACGATTCGGACAATTTGCACGGTCTGGCAACGTGTTGTGAACTACCATCAGCCAAGTGGAACCACCTCATGTATCACTTGGTCCCTCAAATCCGCTCACATGACCTTCTACTTTAATTCTACTTGTAGTATCACCGTCCATTCGGGCTTTTGAAGGTGTACGTTCAAATGTTAGTTTTCGTCAGTATCTTATTATTTATATCTTAACCATACCTCGTGGATAGGGAATCTAAAACATCAAAAATGTAGAATACCAATTACCTAGGATTTCTTGGCTCCGATTCGTGGTGGCTCGGAGGTCTAAGACGGCCGTTTCTCATGCATGAGGGCCCGGGTTTGAAACATACCAACAGCAAGTACTGATTAGATCTTTTCCGTGTTATATGTACTTTCTAAGATTATTTAGACATCGCTGACAAACGGTGAAGGAAAATGTCCAGGTCAGCAGTGGCCACTTACTTATAGGCTGTTGATTGAATACTTTGCTCTTGCTCCTCCACAAGGCTTATGATCAGTGCTGATAAATAGTTAAGTTTTTTAACCGCAAATAGTTACGGGTAAATTGGATTAGGACTGACCTAAATGATATTTAAATCTTGATTTGACTGGATTAGGTAATGTTTCGAGGATGTCAACTATTCAAGTATTTAGGACAGTTATTAAGAGTAAGTAGTGTTGTAGTAATGTGTTGATTTATATTACGGAGCCCTACAGATGACATTGAGTTTTTCCGAAAAGTTTAGTATATTAGTTGTATAAGCATTCTTAAAAAAGAGATAAAAGATCTGTTATGTTTATTAGGTACTTGAATCTGGTATAACCTTCAGTCTAGTCAAAAGTCTGCGAAAAGAAAGAGTCACGCCTTGATTGTGTTTAAGCACTGGAAACTGGACTCACTTTTGTAACTGTCTAGGATGTGACTAAGCGACATTGCAAGGCATCCGTTACCCGGGCGAAATTGAATTGTTTTACTGTGGATTCAGTTTCTGCTTAGTGTCTTATAACTGTTTTTGTTACAATAAACTGTTAGAAAAAAATAATGAATAGTAAAAAATGTGTAGATAGTATTTTAGTTTTCAAATTTACAGATAGGTACCATTATGTATGCATATGCAGTTAATTGATACGCTATTCCATGACGCATATTTCTATAAAGAATTAACAAGAACTTCCACCGTGACTTGTTTAAGAAGAAAACATTTACTGTAAGTCACTTGGACCAAGAAACTTTCAATTGAAAGTAATCTAACAGAATTTTGATATTTGATAAATAGGAGTAAAATAACAGATTTCCAAAGATATCACATATGTTTTAGTACCTAGGGTATTATTTCGACAAACATTTTGTATCAGAAAAGAAAAGCCGTTAAGTGTACAGGTTCGCCATTTTTACTACGAAAGTATTTGGTTCGGTGATTTTGAACTCTTTTCGAACCGATATCGTTATTTGTTTCAAAATTAACATTCGACTCGGATATAAAACGTTTAACGTTTAACA